TTTAAATAGTGAAGCAGTTGATTTTTGAGTTATTCTACCAGATTTGGTGTGCAAATGAAAGAAGGTTATAAAGTTTAGTTAAAAAAACAATATAAATAGTTTAAATAGTGAAGCAGTTGATTCTTGAGTTAATCTACCAGTTCCGATATCCAGATGAAATCGTGTTAATGGAGTTTAGTTAAAAAACAAGATACAGAATGTAAGTTTACCTTCTTTTTTATGAATAACAAAAATGAATATTATATTTCAAACAATCTATAATCCCATTCAGAATCTGATTCTTGAAAATCAATGATTACACTAGATATGTGGCTGGTATCAATTATATCCTACATTTCAAGAAAATGTCGTGGTTCTAAAAAGAACCGTTTTAATACATATAAATATCCATAAAGGTATTAGTTTAAGATATTTCCTCAATATCATTCCGGAATTCACAATCTGATTCGCGAGCGACAGAAACTGAAATAAAGATAACTCAGCCTCATTTTCTAATTGAAACTAATTTAATAATTTTAATATTAGTCTTTTTTCATTCTCGGTATATCTCGGAATATTTAAAATATTTTTATGACATTAAAATATTTAAATACAGAATTTAATTTTCACTGTAGTTAAAATGTCTGAAAATACTAACCTGGAATGGCAATTATCATTTTATCAGTTGTTGTGAAAGTACTGTCACTGTCATTATCAAGATCATCTGTGTCAAATTATATTTATATGCATAATTGATTGGATATCTATTTAGCATATTCTAAACTCCAACCAATTATACGTTCGTAAGTAGAATTCGCTTTAATATGCGAATACCCGTAAACGATACCTAATTTTCTAATTTCTATGTATAATAATAAGCGACTCACGTTTTTTTCTGTCACTTCTAGCTTAATGCGTTAGAGAGAATTCGAACAACTATGACGCACTGAAAAAAGGGTTTGGGACGGACCGTAAATATTATACATTACCACAATGTAGACTGCATCCTAGTGTGAGCAACAGGGCCCACTGTGAATGAGGCGATTTGCGATATTCTGCATGATTTGAGCTACGAACTGTCTTCTTTATGTGTGTGTGTGTTTTGATTAGATTTTCTTCTCACTCTGGGCTTTTTGTAATATTTTGTCCCTATTGGGGGGTTTTTTATTTTTCCCTCTGGTTTTGCGTTAGTCTAATATTTGTTGTTTTGGTCTTTTGTGCTTCCATCTGTGGAAAGCGTCATACCTCATTATCTCTCGTAGGATGTGACTGGGGTGGTTCTCTAGTTCTGCGAATTTTATCCTAGCTTTTTCTTTCATTGTGTCAGTCACTCTGATTTGCTGTAACTCTCTGAAAAGGAATCTTTCAGCTACGTATCTTGGTACGTTTACCGCTTCTCTTAGGCTTTTGTTGTGTTGTGCCTGTATTTTCTTTTTCGTTGTGTTGCATATATGTCCCCATGCAAGTGATGCGTATGTCAGTATAGGAAACTCGATTCTTTATCGTTATCCACGGCGTTTTATACCTTTGCCGGTATTCCATCTTCAGCGCGCATCGATGGTGGAGGTAGGTCGATAAGCGCTGGCGGTGCTATCATTACAGCTCTTTCTCTTTTTGATAAAAGGTTTCAACAGTGTGATCTTTGTCGGTTGGGCGATAATCTATCTCGTAAAAAGGTCTTGTATGACTATCAAGAAAATGGTCTCCTTTTAGATCTTGAGAATAGTTCGATTAACTTAGTTGAAATTGTATGCCAAGGCTACAGTGGATGGTTGCATTCTTCCTGCTGGTTGCATCTGCGATAGAGTGCAGAGTATTTGTTTGTACATCTTAGACCAGTAGTATTTCGCTCCGTTCGGTAAATGGTTTTCGCAATTCCTAAAGGGCCTACTGCTATGCGGTTCCTATTCGGTTTTTATTTGGTTTCTATTCGGATTCAGTTTCTGTCAGTTCTTCACGATCTTAGAAAAATCAGGGCACGATAATATTGGGGCTGATGTAATTCATCTTTGAACAGACAATATATCCACGACGTATCTATTGTGGTACCGGTTACTGAGTCTGTGTCTGTCGTTCCGGGATGATGCAGCATTTTACTTTTGCTCGGGCGCCAATTTGTGAAGGTTAGTTCTATTAGACATCAGACTCAATAAAATACAAGTTTAATATAAATAAAAATATATTCAAATAAATAACAAAATTAAAAGTAGCTTATAAATAATGGGAAATAAACAATTCGGTTTAAGAGAAGAATTGGGAACAAGGGAAGCTTTGTTCTCAATGCTAACACTACTTCAACGATCATGGGAAATACAGAAACGAATTTACGTCTGTTTTATAGATTTTGAAAAGGCGTTTGATAGGGTTCAACATGGTAGGCTAGAAATAATTGGAAGAGAGGATAAAGATCTGAGACTTTTACAACATCTATATTGGAATCAAAAAACTTCTATTCTGGTAGATGGCAAAGAAACAGACAAAATTTGTATTCAAAGAGGTGTTAGACAGGGTTGTGTGTTGTCCCCAACTTTGTTTAACGTTTACTCAGAAATAATTTTTAACAAAGCCTTGGAAGGGCAATGTGGAGTTCGAATCGGTGGAGAAACTGTTAATAACATCCGATATGCAGATGACACCGCAATCATGGTTGAAAGTATCGAAGATCTTCAATTCCTTATAGATGGAGTCACTAGAGAATGCTCTAATAACGGATTTAGCATAAATACAACAAAGACAAAGTTACTTGTGGTTAGTAAACAAGACCTCGGCGCTATACAACTAATTGTCAATAATGAACCGATAACAAAAGTTAACCATTTTAAATATCTAGGATGTTGGATAAACGAGACACTAAATCCGGATGAAGAAATTAAAACTCGTATAGAAATTGCTAGAGGAGCATTTATGAAACTTAGATCTATTCTGAGCAATTCTCAGCTGAACTTACAGCTGAGAATTAAGTTCCTAAAATGTTATGTGTATCCTGTATTACTGTATGGATGTGAAACCTGGATTATAAAGGTTAACATGATGAACAAATTGAAGCCTTCGAGATGTGGTTATATCGTAGAATGCTCAGAATATCATGGGTTCAACACATTTCAAAGAGAGAAGTCTTGAACAGAGTAGGTCAAGGTAAAGGTGACTTAATAAAGATGATAAAAAAGAGAAAACTCGAATATCTGGGGTATATAATGGGAGGAAGCAGATACAAGATAATGCAGTTGATACTCAACGGAATGATCGACGGAAGAAGATGAATTGGTAGAAAGAAATACTCATGGCTCCGAAACCTTCGTCAATGGACTGGCTTATCAGCAGATGAATTATTACATGCCGCGCAAGATCGAGAACGATATCGGCAAATCGTCATGGAAACTACCCACACCTAAAACTTGGGCACTGATTCGACGCTGATACTTGCGACAAATAAATACTAGCGTTACTCGGATGGATGAGGCAAAATACGATAGTTGGTCAATACCTAAAATCGGGTTACGACTAATCATTATTAATTTAGTCTAGAGAGGTGGCTGGCACGGACAAGCAACGGAAGCGATCGATCAATACTCGATTGCAAACGGGAAACGCGAAGGAGGCCTTTGATCAATAATCAAATACCCGGGGTAGATGCTTTTATCAAATCAATTGATAGTGATCAGATTAGATCAATTGAAGGTGAAGTGGAGTAGACAAAAATTTGAGGCATGAAGAGATATAGAAGATACCTGAATTGAGGTTGGTCAAACGATTACTGGTAAATATGGTAAATATGGTAATATTGTAAATATGGTAAATATGGTAAATATGGTAAATATGGTAAATATGGTAAATATGGTAAATATGGTAAATATGGTAAATATGGTAAATATGGTAAATATGGTAAATATGGTAAATATGGTAAATATGGTAAATATGGTAAATATGGTAAATATGGTAAATATGGTAAATATGGTAAATATGGTAAATATGGTAAATATGGTAAATATGGTAAATATGGTAAATATGGTAAATATGGTAAATATGGTAAATATGGTAAATATGGTAAATATGGTAAATATGGTAAATATGGTAAATATGGTAAATATGGTAAATATGGTAAATATGGTAAATATGGTAAATATGGTAAATATGGTAAATATGGTAAATATGGTAAATATGGTAAATATGGTAAATATGGTAAATATGGTAAATATGGTAAATATGGTAAATATGGTAAATATGGTAAATATGGTAAATATGGTAAGTATGGTAAATATGTATATACATCCAATTCATGGACACCTTATTTGTTTGGAGAGTGTCAGAAACTCAGAAATTCGACAAGCTACGACGATTTTGATAGCAGCAATAATCATTCTGAAGATGTTCAGTTCCATATTCAGTGGTTACTTTTGACAGGATATCGTAAGAAAGAGGTACATTTAATCTGGAGCCTTCATTAAGATTAAAGGTTAGTTTATTTTTGAAATAATAATAAAAATATCGTATGGGATTTTTGCTGAGGAGATCCTTTGAGACAGGTTCTATGCATCGTCAAACCTGGTTTCAGATAACTTGTGTCGTAGCGTAGTAGCCAAGGGGGACCAACGGCTTTACATGTCCTCCGAAGTACGATTACGGCTCGTATAATATGGAACACAATAATTAGTTATATATGTTTCCTAATGAAAATAATATGTCTCAACCAGTCCTGATCGCTGCCATATCTGTATTAACGTTATGACTTTTACATCATCGAAGGCTATTTCCAAGTTAATAAAATACACAAATACATCGCAAATTATGTCGCATAGTTATTAAAGTACGAGATTAATCATTATAACGGCAATAAATACATAGATTACACCAAAAAAATAATTATATACACTATGACGGTCATATCTAAAAACTTTTAATCATGTGTATATTATATGCACCCGCCTTCCTCGTATATCCACACCATTACAATTAACAATTCGCTGATAAAAAATAATGCTCTTAAATAATATTTTATGTTAATTTTTGAAGTGATGTATAAAGGAGAACTCGAGATGATATTTCTCAATTGGTCGTGGAACCATGGCCGCTATTAAGGGATTCCTGCTGTTTCTTTTATTTATAGCTAGTTCTTATTCGGCAAAGGTCAATAGTTTGAACGGACTGTGGAAGTTCAGAGATGAAGGTGGTGGTACGTACTTTTATTTTTTAATTTCATTGTTTAATAAAACTTGTAGGACGATTACCGTATGCAGTGTTTCAACATTTTTATATTGTTCGTGCGAGAGATAAACTAATCGGCTTATCTTTTCGAATTTAAAAGTGTTTTTCATCTGAAATATGTCTAACAAAATCTTTATTTTATTTATTTATTTTTAAACTATAAAAAGTAAAAAATATTTTTTACATAATATTTTTTTCATGTTTTTTATTCTAAGAGTACATCTCTCTATATTACTGTTAGTACCTTTTGTTTTAATTGTTTTCTCCATCTTCTGGGATTTTCTTTTGGTTATTTTTCCTATTACTTTACGTATATTATTTGTCTTTTTATTGTAACTTTCAGTTTTCTTTCTTCTTTTTCACGTTACCTATACGTTTTTTCTTTCGTAATAGCAGTTTGAGTTTTGAATACATCTGCAATAAATTGTTTGAAATTGCAACCAAACACTTTCGAAGTTTTCATAAATTCCTTCAAATAAATTCATATGTTTGTAGAAAATTATATTTTTCTTCTTATTCAATCTGTTTACCGTTTATTTTTAGCCGAGTTATAGTTCTTATTATATTAAGTATTTAAGCCAGATTCTTGGCTAACTTTTAATACTTTGGATATAATTATTTGTCAGTCGTTGAGAGTTTTTGTGATGATCCTAGTATCAAGAGAATATGGTTTCTTCCTTTAGAACTCTATTCAGTTGTATTATTTATGTATTTATTTATTTTCTGCTCTATATTATTTGTAACTTAAAGACACAATATATTATTTCTATGTTATCCAAATCCCTTCATCAACAAAAAACAAGCATATCTTTTATACATTTTTAAATATACCTAGCTTCCTGTTTATGTTTTTGGCATGCATGGATGGTTTGACAGTTTGACAGTCCGCGTAAACAAACAGGGTTGGGCACTGGACTAGTTACACGGTGTGTGAATAAATCTTTGACTCAGGCAAACACAATATAGATAATAAAGAATATTGGAAAGTAATCTTTTTCTTTCTGATTTCCATAGCGTCTTACCCCTTCTAAATAGAAGTTTCATTCTGTGAAAAGGAATATTCATGAAGAATTCTCTCCGGCATTGCTCTTTGAACGTCTCCTAACTATGTATGGTTTGCTTTTTTTCCTTCTTGCACCTGGTATCCATTTTATTATTTGTTTAGGAAGTCTCATGTCATTCATCCTTTGGACATTTCTTCAATCTGTTGTTGAATCTTTCATATTTTGTCTTATTTGGTTGTTTGGTATTTTTTCCAGTCTTTATTTTCTGGCAGATCTTCACCAGAAGTCCATTTCTAAGGACAATAAGCGACGTTCTAGTAATCTTACAGTACTTTTAAAAATTGAATTAAGCAGAATCACAATATTGAATTTATACATGTTACAACCATTTTTGCTCTTACTATCATTTCTTTTATTTCCTTTTCAGTCCGGCGACTGGTTCACCGTTGTACCTAAATAATTGTACTCCGTACAAACATTAATTAGAGTATTCCCATCTATGATTCGATTTCCTGTTAAGTGCCCAATTTAGACCCCATTATTCATACTCTTTAAATAACCTTTTAGCTATAACTTCTAGGTCATCTTTGTCCTGGGCTAGAACCACTTGATCTTTGAATAGCAAAACTATCTCTCTCTAATGATGAGTTGTCCAAATCCTTGTTTCTTGTAACCTACACTATCTATTCTTAGCAGTCCCCTAGGTAATCAGCAATTTTACAACAAATTGTTGCGAGTCAAACAAATAAGAGATGGATCTCTTGGTTCCTTAATAATTTTTTCAGTCAGTTGAGTTATATTAAAAATATGATTGAGACATAATCTTCCAGCACGGAATCCTGCTTGTTGTTCTATTCCATACGGTTCATACTCTTCTTCGATTAACTTTTTAAATATTTTTGCGTATAGTCAACTAAAGCTACTAGAGAGTGAGATGCATCTTTAGTTTCTGCAGTATGTAGTTTTAATAATAATGTATTTTTTCAATAAAAAGAAAGAAAATAGCACTATTAGTCAATAATATATCGAGGATACATCATTTATGTTTAAAAATGACATGCATAAAAAATTAGAGTTTGATGTTAATATTAAGAGTAAACTACTTACCATGTCCGAATAGTATCATGAGGTTTTTTGCCTCTTTTTTTCCTGAATTTTACTGTCAGCATTGCATGTGGTTGTAGTTTTAAAGATAAATCATATGCTATTATTTTTCTGACGGGTATTCTTTAGTTCAACTTCCAATAAAGTCATCCCAGTAACGCAACTCAAAAATATTGACAATATCATTTTTAAAGTCATCTACTTTAAAATCTATAATATATGCCGTCTGAATTGTCAAGATGAATGAGTCACATAAAATTAAATTATTAGATTTTTGTTACCAAGTAACAAAAACAAAATTTGTTTATTTTGTAATTTAAGAACGATTTCCAAAGTGGAAATTGAAACGTCAAACAAACTTATTTTAAAATAAAAATTGTAGCTTATCCCCAATAGAAATAGTAAGTCATATTCCTATTTCGTCTTTGTTTATATTTGCCCGAATTCCGAGGCATATTCTAGGTTTGTAGGGATTTCTGTTTTTTTCCGATTATGAAGTACTAGCTCCTTGCCTCAACCCCCTGCCAGGAGGACCGGGTGATTTTTCATAAAGGTTTTCTTTTACTAGATTGACTACAAGATTACGGAGTTCAGTTGACCCTTGAGTTTGCAATTGCTCATTTGCTCTTCAGTAGGGATCGACAAGACAAGAATTCTTGTCTTGATAACAACTTCTTTTTTTGCCTTGGGAAAAAATTAATCTATCTATGGCCATCTAATGTCTCCACTGCCACTGTCTTCCGAGCTCTACTCCATCATGCCCTCTCCAAAAATCTGACTCCTGGCGTGGTCAGATGCGTCTTTCTATCCTCCACTGACGAGGAGACCCTAAGGACTCTCTTGGACGCTCACTTTCCAGAGGACAAGGATGATGATACTGCCCTAGCTACAATTAGGCTACCGCGAATTGTTGATTTTCGGATGGCGAAGGAGGTAGGATCGTATAAGAAGGTATGCCTGGGCTGTTAGGGGTTTGGCTACTTTCAAGTCACCAGGCGAGGACGGCATAATGCCGGTTCCGTTATATTTTTATTCCTTGTATTATTTCAAGATATGTCAATAAGGCGGTTTGGAAAATCTGTTCATTTTCCATACGCAAACGTCATTCCACTGTAGTTAATTTATCTGTTCACCTGGTGAATAAGCAACGACTATATTTCACGAGTGTTCGATATGTCCACCATTTTTTTAATTCCTTTGTCAATACATTCCATAAAACAACGCCTTATATTAAATAGCATCATTGGTTCTAAATAAACTGTTGCAGTATTTATTATAAGTATAATAATAAGTATTCATTTGGGATTTTTATGCATTAACATAAGACATGACCAAGAAATAGGACTGATTACCACGAACAATCCAACGTTCATCAATTCAATTCAATTCAATTCAATCAATTTATAAAAAATGTAAGTAAATCTCACCATTCAAATTACAAGGTAATTCGCATATCCGTAAAAAAATAATTACCAATGGTTCCAAACCATACGTTTATTCAAAATTCATGTTTAAAATGCATGTCGTATATACCTAGAACGGAAAATATTGAATAAATTCCATTTTTTGATGATGGAGCAAGTAATTTAGATTCAGAACTTCTTTTTTTATTGTTAAAATTTTCTGAATCGAAATTATTCTTACTTTATTACTAAATTTTGTAGATCTATTTTAAAAGTTTTTTTTTCAGAATATGCTGATCTTACTGGTACTGTTCCTGGTGGTATTTATAGTGATTTGATGAGCAACAAAATTATTGATGATATATTTTATGGAGATAATGATGTTAAGACTAAATGGGTTCCTAGAAGTAACTGGACCTATTACAGAAATTTTGATGGTATGTCGAATTTTTATATAACCATATTGTATTCTTTGATTATATTATCCATAATATATACAGCACGCTGATGCGCTATGAAGGAATATCATGTGGAAGTTCCGGGCACAAGAACTCCTGCATGATCTCCTACCCCTAACTATGCCCTGCGCCTTTTGTTAGTATTTTGTTACTTTTTTTTGGTGACCGAAGTCGTTTTTTTGGATTTATGTGATTTTTTTTAACAAATTTTAATACAAAGAGACTGCGAAGCCTTTTATATCCGAGGCATATAATGTAGGTTTCGGTACATTCCGATTTTATTTGTATCTCTTTTTTAAAGTTTAGGTTTACTAAACACCGGGACACTAAACAAAAATTACTGAAAAATCAACTATGACTGAGGAAGAATGAATAGTGAAATTGTTTTCAATTATTATGGAGACATGCATTATTAGTTCCAAATGACTGTATTGTACAGTATTTCTATTTTATTTCATTTTTCAGTTACCGAAGATATTCTGAACAATGATAATGTTAACCTGGTCTTCGAAGGTCTCGATACGTTTGCCAGCGTGGTTGTAAACGATATCATTGTGGGTTCCAGCAGAAATATGTTTGTGAGATACATTTTCGATGTGAAGAAAGCTTTAAAAGTAAGTTATCTACTGATTTTTATTGTAATACATATGGAATAACCCGCAATGTCTGTCCGCCTGTAAACTAACAATAATTCACTACTAACACATGCAAAATAAAATTGCGTGAAATAATAAATCAAAGGTTTAATGTTTATATTTTTGAAATTATATAATAATTTGAAATATAAAATCCTAAAACAGTGTTGCTCGATTTTCAGTAAATAATGAAATTAATTTAGAATCATTACTTTAACTTTCAGATGTAAATGTTAAATAATATTGAATTGTATTCTATACTTTAAGGAAATATGAATGAAACAATATCTCAGCTTATCCGCATTGCTTAGAACAGTGTGATCCAACCTTTTAGACGTCGTGGGCCGTATTAAATTTGAAATTATTATGAATTACAACAAAACTTGACTCGTTCAAAAAAAGTTTATTTTAAAAAATAATATACAAACGAAATATTATCTACAACTATTTTATTATGGTTCACAAATTACATGTTATATTTAAAATTTAACATAGAATAAAAAATCAATGGGATACTTGAGGCAAGGATCCTCTACTAACTTTTGTACATCTATATCTACAGTCTGTCCCAAACCCTTTTTTCAGTGCGTCACTAATTTTGACGTCATATAGAATTTTAAGAATGTCGAGAATTATTGCATGACATTTTAGTTAAATCTGACAGTTGCAGGATCGTAATCCGCTAAACGTGAAAAGGTTACTTTTTTTTAATGCATAGCAGTTTGTAATAATTCTATTCTATTCTGTTCTATTTTATACATTCCATGGAAAGTGCTTAATTAGCTAAGATTTGTTTATGGATTTATTATTATTTATTACAAACACTAGGGAATTGGAAGGTTTGTTTATTTAAAATAACGCTTCCTCCTAGAATCTTTTAAGAGTTGACTGCAAGGTAAAAAAATTTACTGACAATTGCAAGGCATCAAAGTAAACATTCCTGTGATAAAATAATATCGATTTAAATCAGTCATATTTGGATAAGTAATTTTCTGATAAGTTTGTGTGGCAGTCAATAGTTTAATTTTGTGAAGAGTTGTCATTAAATAGTGGAAATAGTTTAAATAGTAAAGCAGTTGATTTTTGAGTTATTATACCAGATTTGGTGTGCAAATGAAATAACGTTATAAAGTTTAGGTAAAAAAAAAACAATATAAATAGTTTAAATAGTGAAGCAGTTTATTTTTGAGTTAATCTACCAGTTCCGATATCCAGATTAAATCGTGTTAATGGAGTTTAATTAAAAAACAAGATACCGAATGTAAGTTTACCTTCTTTTTTATGAATAACAAAAATGAATATTATATTTCAAACAATCTATAATCCCATTCAGAATCTGATTCTTGAAAATCAATGATTACACTAGATATGTGGCTGGTATCAATTATGTCCTGCATTTCAAGAAAATGTCGTGGTTCTAAAAAGAACCGTTTTAATACATATAAATATCCATAAAGGTATTAATTTAAGATATTTCCTCAATATCATTCCGGAATTCACAATCTGATTCGCGAACGACAGAAACTGAAATTAAGATGTCTCAGCCTCTTTTTCTAATTGAAACTAATTTAATAATTTTAATATTAGTCTTTTTTCATTCTCGGTATATCTCGGAATATTTAAAATATTTTTATGACAATAAATACAAAATTTAATTTTCACTGTAGTTAAAATGTCTGAGAATACTAACCTGAAATGGCAATTATCATTTTATCAGTTGACATTGTGAAAGTACTGTCACTGTCATTATCAAGATCATCTGTGTCAAATTATATTTATATGCATAATTGATTGGATATCTATTTAGCGTATTCTAAACTCCAACCAATTATACGTTCGTAAGTAGAATTCGCTTTAATATGCAAATACCCGTGAACGATACCTAATTTTCTAAGTTCTATGTATAATAGTCAGCGACTCACGTTTTTTTCTGTCACTTCTAGCTTAATGCGTTAGAGAGAATTCGAACAACTATGACGCACTGAAAGAAAGGTTTGGGACAGACTGCATGCTAGTCGTAGTGAGTCTAATACACGCTTTCAGATAATCGTTTTCCATGCAATTACGCATCTTAGATTTAAAACATTGAATACAGTTTCGAAGTTTAGGAAAAGGATCCTTGGAGACTAACTTCCAAAAGGTACTAATGTCTTCATTTTTCTTTGCCTGAAAAAACAAATCGGACTGTAGTTGGCACAGCTCTAATTGGTATTCTGCTGATTGGTTCTGGATGTTGACTCCCATTGGATTGTTAAAAAGCTCAAGATCGAGTTTTAGTGCATCAAATTCCGAAAACCTTTCATCGAATACTCTTTTTATTTCTGTAAGAACTTTTGCAAACCTCGAGAAATCGACTATGATTTCTTCTTGATTTATTTCTAAACACGCAGAAAAATGTGCGAGGTTGTTTATTTTTATGCAGTTCTCGAAAAGATTAAGTTTTTTTGCGAAATGTCTCAATTTGACTAACCAACTGTGATACTGTCTTATTTTTCCCCTGGAGTTGTTGGTTTACTGTGTTCAAGTGAGAGGTAATGTCTGTTAGAAATGCCAGTTCAAGAAGAAATGTTTTGTTGTTTAACTTTGTTATTAATACGTCCATATTAATCTCAATTTCCCTAAAAAAAAAAACAGTAAGATCTCTTTTCTTAAAGAAAAAAATTTCAAAGGCATTTACGTGAATTCAACCATCGTATATCTGAATGTAGGGGGACGTCCTTATATTCAGTATTTAATTCCTCCAAGAAAGAGATGAATTTTCGATGTCGCTACGCTCTGCTTCCTCCTCTTAAGGAGCACTACAGTTTTCATAGTATCGTTGATTTAAATTATCTTTCCGCAGAGAGCCTCTTGATGGATAATGCAATGAAACATGAAAAACAGTTAACACCATTTTCCCGCAAAAGTCCAGCCAATCCCGTTATGCGTCCCGTCATTGCTTCTGCTCCTTCGGTGCAAACGCAAGAGCACTTGAAAACTGCCTATATTTTTCACAGCGTCACTAACTGCATCAAATATATTTATACCTTTGGCCCCATCTTCCATGTGTTGCAGTTTTAGAAGTTCACCAGTTACACAAAAATTAATAGCTTATTTTTGTCAGTAATATCAACAGCTTCATCCAGGGCTAAGGTGTAGTATAATCATGTAGTATAATCATAAACTGTGTCGATCATTTTTTTTAAATACATGAGTATTCAGCTCATCAACTCTTTTAGAAACAGTTTGATGGGAAACTAAAACGCATTCAAAATTTTTGGCCATCTTTTCATCTCTAAAAAATCGCGCCATTTTCACGTCACACCGCTTGATCATTTCTCCATATCCAAATGCTTTTTACTTTCGACAAGCTTTAAACATACTTCATATGATGCTGCTAAGCTTGATGATTGAACAGCTGCCGGTTTTGTAAATAGAGATTTTTGTTTATTCAATTTAGCTTTAAGTTCTTTTACAAGAGTATTGCGAGCTTCACCTTGATATTTGTCACATTTTGTTTTGTGCTGGGTTTTATAATGCCTACTAATATTGTATTCTTTTGATACTGCGAGTACTTGATAACAAATAATTCACTGAGATTTGACTTTTAATTCGATGAAGAAATATTGATTTTCCCATCTTCCTTGGAACGTACGATTCTCTTAAAAAAATTTGCGTTTTTTGGCATTACTCATTCTAAATTTAACATTCAATTTATTCGCCACTGTGAATTCAACACGACACGTGCCGCTGACTGAAGCTAACTGCCCGTTCATCGGGAGTGGGTGTTCAGAGTTAACTACTGTCTTAAGATTACGGAAAGTTAGACAGGGTTGGAACAGTTAAAAGTTATCAATGGCAATCATTTTGAAATGTGTTTGCGGGGGCCGTAGTTTAATGAGTCTCGGAAGCGTGCCTGAGGTTTGACCACACTGGCTTAGAACAACTATAAGTTGCCTAAATTTGGCGCAACTCAACGACTGTAAATTATTATAAATTATTTTTATAAAATATACTCTTTTAGAGACAGTAGAGCTTACTTTCTTCATACATATGATAAAAATATAATGTGGAACATTTTATGGATTTAGTATACCTACTCAATTAGATTTTAAAATTTTTTAACATTCTTAGTAGATTTTAAAATTTAAGATTATTTAGAATTGTTTCATTAAATTTATAATTATTAAAATGTATTATTAAATGTAAATGGTCTAGGAGATAGGAATGAGCGAGGAGACCGACTACTAGAATTCTGCAACCAAAGGAAATTTTCTGTAATGAACACGCATTTCAAACATCATCCGCGTAGACTCTATACCTGGAAATCACCTGGAGATAGAACAAGAAATCAAATAGACTTTATTCTGATCAGTTCGAGATGGAAGTCTTCAATTACCAACGCAAAAACATTTCCAATAGCAGAATGCGGAAGCGACCACCAGCTCTTGATGGCAGATTACAGAATGCGTTTCAAGAACATACGCAAAGCTTCTCCCCGTTCTTTTGGGCTAACGGACCCCGAATTAGCTACCTTTAAAGAGAGAATTGAACCAGCACTAACCAGAATAGGGAACAATCAGTCAGAACAAAGCGTGGATGAAGCCTGGACAGATATTAAAGAAACCATCGTAACAACAGTGAACCAATGTCGCCAACCATCTATAAATAATAGCATTAAACCATGGATCAGCAGAAACACGTGAAAAGTGATTGAACAAAGAAAGCAACTTAAAGTTGGCCCCTGTGATCAACAGACATATAAAGCTCTCTCCAGAGATATTCAACGAAGATGCCGAAAAGACAAACAAGAATACATCTCTGAAATCTGCTAAGAAATAGAAAATCACGGATATCGAAATGAAACCAAAGACCTCTTCCGGAAAGTGAAAATTCTTGCGAGAGAATTTAAACCCAAGAACTATGCAATAGAGGACAAACATGGTATTATCATAAGTGATATCGACAGAGTGCTGGAAACATGGAAAAACTATTGTTCAGAGCTCTACAGGGAAGAACACGTAAATCTAGGCCACACTTCAGCCCTCGAAAACACTGAATACAACCCTGAACCTGAAATTCTGCTGTCCGAGATTGAAGAAGCTGTAACTCACCTCAAGAAGAATAAATCCCCTGGCTGTGATGATATCACGGGAGAGCTCCTTCAGAACATGGGAGACAAAGGATGTTACATAATGTGGAAACTTTGTAATAAAATTTGGAGATGCGGAAAGTGGCCCAGAGAATGGCGCACATCATTGTGCATACCAATCCATGAAAAAGGAACAACTAAAAAGTGTAGTAATTATCGTACCATTTCACTGATTTCCCATCCAAGCAAAATATTACTAAGAATCATTAAACGCCGTTTGCAACAGTACTTAGACAACCAAATTCCCCAAGAACAAGCAGCTTTGTCAAAGGGAAGGGTACGAGAGAGCAAATCCTTAATATGCGGCAGCTCATAGAAAAGGCCCGCGAAATTAAAATTCCAATAATAATCTGTTTTCTAGACTACCAAAAGGCATTTGATTGTGTAAAGTGGGAAGTTCTCTGGACAGTTCTTCATGAGATGGGAGTTCCAGATCATTTGGCAATATTAATTAAAAACTTATACGAAGATAACTCAGTTAAAATAAGAATTGAAAACCAGCAATCTGATACCTTCAAAACCAGCAGAGGTGTACGACAAGGCTGCATACTATCTCCAGACCTGTTCAATTTATATGGAGAATACATAATGAGGAACACACTCGATGGATGGAGAGGCGGCATCTCCATTGCAGGGAAAAAGATCTCAAACTTAAGATTCGCAGACGATACAACACTGATAGCAACATCTGAAGAGGAGATGTCGAGACTGATAAAGAGAGTAGCAACCGAAAGCAACAAGTGTGGGCTCAAGATTAATAATCAGAAAACAAAAATCATGATTGTGGACCACGCGAATATCCTCCAAACAACAGGCGCCCTAAATCAATTCGAGAAAGTAGACGAGTTCACGTATCTAGGATCTTCCTTAAGCAATGCAGCCTCCTGCCATACGGAAATTCGCAGAAGAATAGGAATGGCCAAGAACGCGATGAGTCGACTGTCAAAAATATGGAAGGACCGCTCTTTGTCCAAAAAACTCAAAATGAGACTGGTACGGACACTCGTTTTTTTAATCTTTAGTTACGGTGCCGAAACATGGACAATAAAATCAGAGGCTAGGAAAAGGATTGACGCATTCGAAATGTGGTGCTGGAGACGAATGCTACGCGTCTCGTGGACGGAGCACAGATCCAATCAGTCGATTCTCGAAGAGCTAAACATTCAGACCAGACTCTCCACATGGCCACATTGCGAGAAGAGACAATGACAACTTAGAAAGACTAATTGTGTGCGGAAACGTAGAAGGACGTAGAGGCCGAGGACGCTCACCTATCCGATGGTTAGATCAAGTACAGAAAGCCACTGGAGAGACGTTTTCCGAGTCCATGAGAGCAGCCCAAAATCGCAAGAGATGGAGAGAATTGACAGCCCGCATTGTAGGGAATCACGATCCTCAGCAATGAGGAAACGACAAGAGAGAGAGAAAATGTATTGATGCACGAATTGAATAATGCACAAATCTAAATTTTTATCTTTATTGCAGAGAAAATGTTGATATGACGTTGATGAAATTGATATTTTCACGAGTTTAAGGGAAACGAAAGAAGTAAATAGACATGAAGTGGTTAAACGTCACTGTTAAAGTGAACGACTACTGTAACAGTAGATAGTATAAAACATTTTGTGTAAGAGTATAAAGTAACTTTTGTATGGGAAAATAAAACCGGCGTTTTTACTATTTTCCTTATAATTTCACCATATTTTCTCACCTATTAAACCTTTTTAGGACTTAAATCACTATTTCAAAACCAAAATTACCCAAATCAATTCAGTAGTTCTCGATTTATTATAAAAAAGTTATAAAAATATAAATTCATGTTTTTAAACGTCATTTTATGGTATTTTGTAACTACATGGATCAAATGAACTAAAACTGTAGAGATAAAGTCATATAAAACTTTTTTAATTTACAATTAAAACAAATAAGGGTCATTCATCGAGATACCAAATATCCCATCTCCTAAGTTGGATCAACAAATACACTTTCACAAATTTTTATAGCAATCAATTCAGCGGTTTTTGAATATTAGCTTGGACATCGTGACACGAGATTACGAGTATATATAAACATGCGTCAACAAAAAAATAGTTTTTAATCGAACCACAGTCTATTTTGTAGTTTTTACATTTCTTTCTTCAAAATTGACAGCAGCAAGAAAAAATATGAGCGTATGAAAATTTTAAATAAAATAAACAAATAAACACAGAAAAATAAAGAGATGTAACATAATAAGTGGCTCATAAAGTTTTGAGACGAGACAGTTCAGTTTTGAGACAGTTTAGTTTAAAAAAAATATGAACTACAAAAAATATGTAGGGGGCAGATTATGCCTGAGTTTATCGCAATTTAAATAAACAATGATAGACATAACAGTATAGCTATATAGCACTACACGATTGGTATATCAGATATACATATTTTTGTACAACAATGTATATCGTTATAATAAAAATAATAAAATTGTTTATATTTATTTTTTATCGACAGGTAGGAGAAAACAAAATCGAAGTAAGCTTTCTTTCTCCTGTTGAAGTTGCAGCTAACCTAGCTGCTGAACAAGCGAAAACCTATGTCGTACCTCCAACTTGTCCACCCAATGAGTACAGAGGAGAATGTAACGTTAATATGATCAGAAAAATGCAAGCTTCTTATTCTTGGGATTGGGGTCCAGCGTTCGCATCTGTAGGAATATGGTAAGATACATTTTTCTTCATATTAGGTTTAAGTAACAAATTTTCTTTTTGTTTTAATCAAACTTGGGGTATGTATGTGCATTGTTTGTTCTCCCATATTCCTGTATTATTTGGCTTCATAGGCCAAAGAACTGCTTGATTTGGCCATCTCTACTTGGTCATCAATATCTATACTATGAGGCTCATCTATCCTATTGTATATATACAAATTGTATCTGAATCAACGATTTTGTTTGCACGTTTGCCTAAAATCGTGCCATCGATTACACATACATTTTTTTTTTTTCATGAAAAAATGTTTCAAGTCTTCTAGATATTCTATACTAATGGGTGTGCCGATCACGAATCTGTCTTTAGTTTTTTCCCAGCACGTCAGATTTTCAGGGAAAGTCTGTTGGAATTTTTTCTCAGAAACTGCCAAAAATCTTGAGAAAATATTTATTAAAACTACATTTAATACAAAATTACGCTGCAAAATTGAGTTATTGATAACAAACAATACAGTACAATGTACATTAGATAATTGTTGGTTTTTTTGAATAAAATCGAATTACTTTTCCTAGGTTTTTTTGTTTGAACTTTTAGCTGATGATTGCTGTTGGACGGTGTGAGGAAAAGGTGGAGGAATAGGGATTATTTGGTCCATGAGGTACGACTCGCTTAGCTGACGGTTAATCAGGATACTGCACTGTATGTTTATTTTTCGAATTAAAATCCTTGACGTCGTAGAAGCCAAAGTAATAGTCATCTCTATGGGTTTTTGGTTTCCTCCGTATCATAGGAATGCCGAATGAAAAAGAGCTACGTGCACTTTTGTCCATTTCCTCAGTATTTCTACACATTTAAAGCACACTTTGTATGCCGCCCAAGACTTTTCCTGATCACCAAGCTTTACACCGAACAGTATGATAATCTTTCTCAATAAATTCTGTTTTGTTGATACTTTGCTATGGTTAAACCACACATGTAACAAAATATATCAGAACTGTTTTTACACCTTCTTGATAACATAATGATACACTAAACACTCAAAAAACACAACTTGATCCTACAAATAACTGACTCTAACAAACTATTTTGTAAACTACTGCTGATACCGTCAAGTTGACATATCTGGCCAGATTCAAACTGATAACTTACTAAATTTTTACTCAGTAAGTTTAACAAACTCGCTATAAATAGAACAAGTAAATTAAAATTTGACAACTTGGATTACTGACCACAAAAACAGCGCAAGGAATATATCAGAATGGCGGTAAATCATAGAACAAGCCAAGACCTACAAGGGATTGTCAAGCTAACGATGATAATGAAGAAATTTAACGCTCTGCCCACTGCGTTACTCTTGATATCTTCTAATGGTGAAAAATTTAACGGGAGGCCCACGTTCAGCAGTGGACAAATATAGGCTAATTGTTGATGATGATGATTGACTTTTTATCCTGAGTATATTTTTCTGTCGTACTTGTTCCAGATGGACAAACAGGTTTGGGTAAAGATATTAACTCTATATCAATAATTTATTTATGACTAAATCATGTGAGATCTTGCGATGCGAGCTAAGGTGTTATAACGTTTATGCCTGTTTTCCATCCTATCGATCTATTTATTCGAATTTCTTCCTGTTCGTTTTTTTTTTAATTGTTGGTATTCCCTCTCAATTTTTTTATTATTCTTTTTTCGTAGAATCTTATTATTATAATCAATAAGCGATAAAAATTTCGCGATTGCTATCGTATTTTTTAATACTTTTTTATCAACTGTCGATATGATATATGAAATTTACTATTCTTGAGGAGTAGATATCTTCAACAACTTAGGCATTACTAAATAATGTTGTGACAAGCATATAAAAATATAATTTGGCGTTAAATAATTTTTCGGAACCTATTGATTTTATTTCAGGAAGGACGTATACCTTGAATCCTTTGCAGAGAGTGTAATCAGATATGTAGCGGTTGACATAGAAGATGATGATCAGAACTGGATACTGAAAGTTGATACTTACCTAGGAGACAATGCAAAACACCATGTGCAAGGAAAACTTACATTACAACAAAAAACCAATGACCAGACTCTTGAACAAAGTGTGGATATTGATATTGTGCCTAATGACCAAAACGAACTACTTCATAGCACTGTCATATCTGTCTCCAAAGTAAGTATTGTTATGTTTTGTGTTATCTGAATACTATTGTTTTACTTGTCTCGATTTGATTGTCAAATTATAAAAAAGAAAGTAACAAAAAATGGAGAGTTGGAGAAGATCCTGTAGAACATCATACAACAACAACTGGAAGTCGAAACATCCCCTAGACGCAAACAATGGATAATACAAGAAATAAGGGTACTGGACAATAGAACTAAGGGAAAGAAACGAACCTGAAATTACTAAAGGGGAAATTAAAAAAACATTAAAACATATTAAAAAGCCATGAGACCGGTGGAAATACCCACATAATTCTTGAAACAACTATCAGAGAACGACATTGATATACTAGTAGAATTATTCAATATAAACTACAATACTGGGGAAATTTCGAAATAATGGCTAATATCTATGTTCATTCCAATACCTAAAAAACCCAACGCAATAAAATGTATATGTAAATGTATAGAACCATTAGCTTTAACCATGTTTTAAAAGTCTTCTTGCGAGTTATACACGAACGTGTCTACAAAAAACTAGACGATAGAATAACAGGAAACCAACTGCGATTTAGAAAAGGCTTTGGCACTAGAGAGGCATTATTTACTTTAGAAAAACTTATAGAATGATGTCGACATGTAGCTGTGAAGTATTCATATGTCTAGTTTAGCAAAAGAAAGCCTTTAACAAAATAATATACACAATGCTTGCAAACATATTACGGAACACAGAAATAGACGATCGGGATGTAAGAATCATTACCAATTTATACCAATATCAAAAACCATAATACGAGTAGACATAAAGAATCTATAGACAGATATACTTATAAGACATGGAGAATGACACTGTTCACCAAAGGGGGTGACAAAGGGAACAGTACACAATGGTGTACTGTTCCCTTTAATTTTTAATATATGCCCAGAAGAGATGTTTAAAGAATTATAGAAAATGTAAATGAAGGCATATACATTAACGAAACACAAGTGAATCTCAGAGGTATTACAATGGTGTACTGTTCCCTTTAATTTTTAATATATGCCCAGAAGAGATGTTTAAAGAATTATAGAAAACGTAAATGAAGGCATATAAATTAACGAAACACAAGTAAGTCTCAGAGGTATGGAATGGCCCTGAACACAAAAAAAAAAACGAAAAAATGATTGTCAGTAAGAACAATATTCAAGGCGAAAGAATCTATGTTAAAAGAAAATCTTTAGAGAAACTATATATACACAATTACCTGGGGTGTGAGCTAAATGAACAATGAGACCGTAGCCTTGAAATAAAACGACAAATTTCGATAGCCAGAAGCACTTTTAATTAGATAAAACCGGTATTTGCAATGAAAACTGGGAATAGAAATTAAATCTAGAGTATTCATTGGGATGCTACGTAAGAATGTGAAAAATATCACACAACACGTAACAAACATGGAAACAATAAGAAGGATAAAAAACGAAAAAGAAATAGCTCAACACTATGAAGGAAACAAAAATGCTACTTTGGTCACATACTAAGAAATGAAAAATATTAGTTTAGCCATATTTTTTGATATCGTATATATTGGCGATTGCATATACAAGGAAAGGTGAAAAAAAAAAGAGAAACGGGGAGACATCGCACCTCCTGATTGAAAAATTTAAGGCAGTGGGATGGAAAAACAATAATATATAACTCTTTAGAACTGCTACAGATAAAATAAAATGGCCCGTGATGATCGCCAATGACCTTGGCATCCAAAGGATGAGGCACATAAAGAGCACGCTTACTTTAGATTCCAAATCAAAATTTTAAATTATCATTGATTTAATAATTTTATTTTATTTTTACATTTCAGGATGCTGTCATTCCTTGGTGGCCAAATGGATATGGAGGCCAACAACTTTATGATTTGACAGTCACCTTTGATAGTAAAAGTGGTGATGAATCTAACAGCAAAGTCACTCGAATTGGTTTCAGGAAAATCGAACTTATTCAAGATAAACTTGGTAAGTATTTAAAGAGAAATGAGTGAAATTATATCTTTAAAGTTTCTAGAGTAAAAATGATTTTACCAACTCATTACATAAAGTTGCAGGTTGAGCCGGCAAAACGGTATTTTAATAAACTACCGTGTTTCAAATCTGAACGCTAATTATGCAATAACAATTAAATATTATCCGATGTACTTTTATAACATTATGACTATATTTTATTTTAAGGTGAATATTTAATGATGAATGAAAATCATTTGAATCAAAAAGTATTTATTTTACCCCTTTAAAGTTACATACATAAATAATAACCTAAAATTTGCAGCTACAGACTGTGAAGTTTTTCCTAACAGCGCCTTTAATACGCAGAGTAGGTTTCAAAAATTCACTAACTAAAGCTCATTTTATCATCCACAGCCTGGGCTAAAAATATTGATATGTTGAGTAATATAAAATAAATATTAAAAACAAAAAGTTGAGTTATTGTCACGCAAAAGCCGAATTCTCATGACGATAAAGGCGGCATAATAGGTACGTAGTTAGAACTCATTCAAAAAATGCAACAGAAAAGAACACCTGGCCCAAATGAAATCCCTCTTGAGCTAATTAAAAACGGAGTGAAAAATTTATTAAAAAGCATCTATAACCTAATAGTTAGAAGATGGGAAGCAGAAGAAATTCCCTAAGATTAGAAAGAAGGCAGAATTATACCAATATTTAAGAAAGGAGAAGTAACAAACTGTAACAACTATAGAGCAATATGTCTACTGAGCACAACATGTAAAATTCTAACAGCCCTCATCAAACAAAAACTCACTCAATTCACAAAGAAAAAAATTGGGGACTATCAGCAAGGATTCAGAGAAGGCAGACCCACTACAGATGCGATTAACATAGATACACAAAGAATTGAAGAATGCCACGAACACTTCTCTCTTCTTAGACTTCAGACAAGCCTTTGACTGTATTGGAAGAAATAAATTATTTATTAAAATGAAAAATCAAGATATACCAGCAAAATAATCAGATTAACAAAAATGACCATGGATGGAGCTCGAGTTAAAGTAACAACAGAAGAAGGTAGCACAAAATCAATTGCAATAGAAATAGGAGTGCGACAAGGCGATTTTCTGTCAACCACAATATTCAACATAACAGTAGAAGGAACAGTTAAGGCCAGCAACCCAAATAGTTGCATATGCAGATGATTTAGTTCTTATGGGAAGAGACAAGGAAAGATTAAAAGAAGCAGTAACAATCCTGACAAAAGAAGCATGGAAAAGAGGTCTAGAAATTAACGAAGAAAAATATCTACTCTGCTCTAGAAGAGAAGATAACAGAACGAGAGAAATCGAAATAGAAAACTACACTTTTGAACGAGTCCAACAATTTAAATATTTGGGTGTAATAGTGAAAGGCCAAAACAAGAGAAGTGAAGAAGTAACGGAAAGAATACTAGCAGGAAACAAAACATACTGGAGATATCATAGGCTTATGAAGGACAAGGACTTCATCTATTGACATTTCTATCTAGAAATACAAAACTGAAAATATACAGAGTTACAAATATACAGAGTGCCTCACGGAAAAAGATGAAGAAAAATTGAGAATTTTTGAAAGGAAAATCCTCAGACGGATTATGTGCCCGATAAGAATGGAAAACGGAGAAATGAGAAGAAGAATGAACCACGAACTAAGAGACATAATGAAAGGAGAAGATATAGTTAGATTTATTAAAGTACAGACGCTGAGATGGCTGGGACACATAGAGAGAAGAAAAAACGACCTACTGATTAAGAAGATCACCAGATGGAAATCAGAAACCAGATGGCAACTGAAAGACCAAGGAAAGACCCAGAGAGAGATGGGAGGACCAGGTCATGAGAGATATCCAAATTGTGGAAGTGACAAACTGGAGGGAACTATGCACATATCGAAAATGTGCATAGCAATGAAAAAAGTGGAAGGAAATTGTACCGAGAGCCAAGCTATACAACAAAGTTGACAACATACAAATGACATTTCGCAATAAGCGAATCAGACAGGTCTAAGTAACAGCGGCAAACATTCCACCCGGAATGAAAAGCCCTGATGATGAATAGTTACATATTACGTAAATAGAGTCCAAGTTTAATTGCTGAGTAGTTTTACTTAAAATTTTTATTGTTCTTAAATGTAGTTCTACTTTATTAATATAAGTCTACTTGCTTATAGTATTTATACATTATATAAGAACTATACATTTCTTTTCAGATTATGGTACTACTTTTTACTTTAAAGTGAACGGAATGCCAATTTTTATGAAAGGATCCAACGAAATACCTCTAGACATCCTTCCAGAACGGGGACAATCAAAAAGTTTAATAAAAAAACTGCTCAGTACAGCCAGAAACTCGCACATGAATATGTTGCGCGTGTGGGGCGGTGGAGTATACGAATCAGACTATTTCTACGACTTAGCCGATGAATATGGTATTCTGATTTGGCAGGATTTCATGTTCGCTTGTGCCATGTATCCAACGTCCGACAGTTATTTAGAGTAAGACAAATTTACTATTTTCATAATTTTTTCATGTTTAAAACGTTTATAGTATTAGATTCTCCTTCTATGTCTCTTCACTTCGACGGAAATTGGCTGATTTGTATTTGATTATACATAAACCTAAGTACGTATCTAAAATATTCTTAGCAATACTTTTATCATTTTAGTTTTCTTTTTTCAAACAAATATGATCACTTTATTGTGTGATTCCAGACTACTATGAACTACTAAACCTCTATCAACCAATAGAACAAGCCGGCATTCGCTCAGGTTTCTGCATCAATGATCAGTGTATACCGCAAAAACCTAATAGAGAAAATCAGAATAAAACCGTCCACTAGGACTAGTTTTTGTTGATTTCCAAAAGACTTTCAACTTAGAACAGTTCACCCTCTTTCCTCGCGGAGTTTAATTGAAAGCGTCCAATTAGACACACTTTATTTGCTAGTTCAATGTTTGTTAGATAATAATTTTCGGAAGTAGAGACATTTAGACCTTATCTCACTGATACTTCTTAGAGGAGCTGGTAATTTCCTGAAGGAAGGACAACTCCGTCCATATGTCGCCATATTACCTAATTCTATTTTTGAGTCATATGTCGCCATGTTATCTAATACAACGGTACCTTTAACATCACAACATTTTATAAGAAATACTGTAAACCAAATGTAACTTATTATTTGTTAACGGGTTTTTACCCATATATTTAGTGGTTACATTCATATACTCCTAGACACTGATGATGGAATATGGATTCCGAAAACGTTTTGTCTAACATAGCCCGTTTGGGTTTTTAAATATATACCTTTTACGAAGGATTTAAATAAACTTCAATATCTTTTACATTTTTTTATTTTCAGAACATAATTTGTTGTTTCTGAACATTCTTTGAGATTTCAGGTTTATTAACTTTCTCCTTTTATTTACAAAAAGTTAAGTGGCGGCTTTTTTCTATCTTTTTCTTCTTATTTATGCCAATTTTACCATATTTAAATATGTTATCTAATTATCTATATCTACCTATTCTATTTTTCTTATCTCTGGTAATTTGTTCTGTTGAACCAACTACTAACTCCAAAAGCTAGTTTCGAACCCATGACTCTCTCCACCAACCATCTAGCTGCCGTTCGCAGTATATCCATTGGTGACCTTTCTAGCAACATCAAAAAAGGGTTAGGTACACATTGGTATAAATTATATTAAGATGTCACAAGAAGAAAAAAATATAAAGAAAAATTGATCTACATTTTTCTCCACATTGTGTACTCTGTGAGCCTTAAGAGAAAGGTGTACAATCAACGCGTGCTTCCAGTTATAACGTATGGATTCGAAATACTAATGCTCACTAAAAATAATGCTGATAAACTAGAATCTCACAGAAAAAATCTTCTTATTTTTCTTTTTATGTAGACATGACTGTCTGTTTTTCAATCTGCCTCCAGTAAGTTGTCGTTCCATCGTTTTCGTGGTCTTCCTACTGATCATCTTCCTATTGGGGAACCATCTCTTGTCGTCTTTACTACTCTATTTGTTGTCATTCGGCTTATATGATCGTTTCATTCTATTCTTCTATTTCTTACCCAGTTTTTGATGTTCTTCACCTTGCAACTACGTACTACGTCGTATATTTGTACTTGTAGGTCTTTCCCATAGTGTCTTGTCATCAATTTTTTTAATTCTTTTTATCCATATTGTTTCATTTACTCAACCTGCGGCTCTGTTTGCTCTATTTCCGTAGCTAGATAATGTGATGCCTAGATATTTAAACTCCATCACTTGTGGCATTATCTGACCGTCCAGCTCCAATTTACATCTTGGTAAATTTGCTGTTGTAATCATGCATTTTGTTTTTTTTTGGGTTTAAATTTTCTGGCGGTTATATTACATTGGTGCAGTATACGTCGTAAATCGTCTTCACTTTGAGTAGTATTGTGTCGTCTGCATAGCAGATTATTTTAAGTTGTTTTTCTTTCATTTGGTATCCTTTTTTAGTTCTTAGTTTAGTTATTACTTTTTTTATTATTTCATCTACAATCAGGTTGAACAATAGAGGACTCACGGAATCTCCCTGTCTTATTCCATTGCCAGATTCAATAGGGTCGGTTAATTCTTCTTCCACTTTTACTTTTATTGTGTTGTTTTGGTAAATATTTTCGACCGTTTTGATTATACCCAAAAGTATATCTCTTGCGTATAACGTCCTTTAATTTGACCCGATCAAATGCCGTCTTATGGCCCACGAAACATATATATATATATATATATATATATATATATATATATTATATATATATATATATATATATATATATATATATATATATATATATATATATATATATATATATATATATATATATGTTAGATCACTGATCACGAGTTTAACTTTTTAAAAAAGAACTTTATTTGTTACAAATTAAATATTAAATAATAGTACAAAATTAAATTAATTTAAAATGACTACAATAACTGGACTGGTCGAAGTTGCAGCTAAGAGTGGTCCCGGCATCTGAGAATGGTAATTTATAGGTTTGGTATGAAGTGCTGAATCGCTGTTCCCATGAATATTGGCCAACGGTTCGTACAAAGTTCTACTGCGTGCTCAGCTGTTTCTATGGGAATGAAATGATGAAATCTGAAGTCGGCGAACTTAAGCTAGTTCAAGGTTAATATTTTCTCATATAACAGCTCCCCTTATTAGTGAAAAGTCAATGCCATTGCTTTGACTTTTACAGAGTAATTGGAGTTTCTGCTTCGCTTTCTTCTTGGACATTGGGTCTTCTTCTGAAGGAGGTTAAGCTTTGAGTTTCTGTCTAATGGAATTCCTGCGTGGTAATGAAGTTGGAGGCTGATCCTGGGACAGGGATATTGCAATTTTTGGGAATATTTTGGTTCGGTATTTGCAGAAAAGGTATAGAATAACTAGGATAATAATCAGGGATAAAGTTGATATAGTGAATAAGGGTAGATGTTCCTCAATGAATGATTGGCTCATAATATGGTCCAGTTCTTCTGAATATTGGTCCAATTTGTGTTGTGCAATATTTAAGTCATCTACGTTGATTTTACTGAGTTTTAGTGGTTTCAATTTTGACAGGTGATTCTTTGTCTCAAAATGGTCACAGCATCTGTAGGGTACGTTAACTGGGTGACTTCTATACGTGATATTTGTATATTTCTCAATTTGGTCTCTAGCATGAATTCTGGTACTGCCGATGAATGCAATACATTCGGGAATTAATCTTAAGATTGAATTTGTTTTGATTATTTGTGTAGTGACTTCTTTTCTTGCACATTTGATAGTTACTGGTAATAGATCGGAAATGGTTAGTAACCATAAATTTCGGTCGATTTCCTGTACATTGTAACCTTGTGCCAAGAGCATGGACATCTGGCAAGTTTTTGGTAAGTTGCTGAGAGGTTTCAAAAGCTGGCCTTCACATATAGCATCTGTGTCTATAAGGTACGGAAGAATGTCTGTACACATTCTTTGGTTTTGACTGATTTGTTTGCATTTTTCGGTGTCCATGGGTAAGACATATGAAATTGAATCATCATCTCGCGCAATGTATTTATGAACAGTTGAAAGTATATGATGAAAACCAGTTTGATTATCTAATATGGGTATTGAATATAATTGATACAAGGTGAATATTTCGGGATCAACTAACGGAATTTCGAGAACGAAAACAATTTTTGAATCAAGCTGATAAGCTTGTAGTTTTATTATGTCAATATACTGAGCTATACTTGACATATAAGTGGGTAGAGGCAATACGTTATTTTGTAATGACTGTGAGATTTCTTTTAATGCGTCCAATAAGTCTATGGGCGAAATAATAGAACTATGTAGAATTTGCAGGCGAGAGAATGTGATAGAATTTAGTATATCATTTAAATAATTTTCTAAAAATACGTAACTTTCCATTAAGGACTCACATAAATCTAGTATTTGTAATTGTGCTTGGTAAAATGTCATTATTAATGTCCAGAAGTGTAGTCTCGATAGTTTTTAAGTCTTTGTTAAAGGTTTCTTCGTCTATTTGCAATTTTTGAATTGTAGTGTTGAAAGTTCTTATAACTGAAGTGGTAACAGATATTTGATTTTTTAGGAGATTTTCAATTTGAGTTTCATCGGAATTTATCTTATTTATACATTTATTAAAGTATTCGCCGTCAGAGGCGTCTAAATTTCCAGTAATAGATTTCCAGATTGTTCCAATACCATTTACTAAACCGCGTTTTAGGCGTTTATTATAAGGTACTGTGTCGGAGGTTATTTCTTTATATTTTAAGTTAACGGAGTTTGAGATTTGTTTTAGTAGACTAACATGTGTCTGTACTTCGGCTTGAAAGGCAAGTTTTCTCGGTGTATCGACGTTAATAAATTTTTCTAATAGGTTTTCCAAAATTCTGTCATTGTTGGATATTGTAGTTTTGATAGGGAATAATTCTTTGTAAACAAGTAAAGTCCATTTATCGTTAGATATTCGTATAGTTCCTTTTTCATGAAAAAATATTCCAATTGTATAGAATAGAATCTGTAAAGGAAAATTATTCAAAATAAGGTTTCAGTCTGTCAAAATTTACTTTAGAGGTTTGGTTAGTTTTGGGGTTAAGGATAATTGCGGAATTTGTAAAAACTTCTTGAATTTCGAAAGGTCCATTAAAAGATTATCCGATTTTGATTTAATTTGGGATTCCTTTAAGTAAACTTTGTCACCAATTTTAAAATCAGGTCTTCGTTCTGAAATATTCTCGTCAAATCTTACTTTCGCCTTTTCTTTCTGTCTTTCTGTTTTTGCTTTGGCTACTTTGTAAAAATATTCCATGCGATTATTCAGGTCTCGAATATACTTGCTCATTAGTGTTTTTTGATTGTATAGAGTTTCTGGTGGTCGGCCTGCAGTGTGCCCAAATATAAGTTCATATGGTGTGAAACCGTGGGTCTTATTTTTTGTGTTGTTATAGCATATTATTGCATAAGGAAGTATAGT